TATGGTATATAAAAGGTAATTTGGTATGCTTAAATGTAATTAACACAATCCTTAAACAATGAATGTAATAAGGTTTGATATATGGTATAGATAGGTAAAAATCTCTTTCCGAAATTTTGAGGCCCAAACAAGATAGCCCAATCCCAATAACCCATCAGCCCTCTAAAATAAGGATTAAATCCTAGCCCTTCATTCTTTCTCATCCAATGGCCAAGATTTATCCTCACCTTAATATTTAAACCTAGTTATAACTTTTGTTAACCAAAACCTAACCCTAGAGAACCCCCAAACGGCGCACTCACCATTCCCAGCCCTCTGCCCGCCTCCAACTCGCCGGAAAACCGGCGAGTTCACTTAACGAGTTCATGGTCCCCTCCTCTCTTCCCTCCTTCCTCCACGTCACGCATTCCGTACCAAGATTCATCATTGTCACGCGTTTCCTTCCTTTATTTTTCTTTTTCTAAACAAAAATCTGAACCCTTGAATAAATTTTGGAAGACTGGGAACCGTTGGATGAAAAAAAATTTGTCCAAAGTTTTCATTTTTCCGATTTTTGTTTGTGAAAGGGGATTTTCGGATTTTATTTTATGGTCCCACACGATTTCTTGGAGAAGAGGAGAAGAAGGTTCGAGAGGGGCTATATATTTGGAGTTCTTGGACAGAAATTGGGGTTTTTTTTTTGGACAGAAATTTCGGGACAGAAAACGGTTCTAGGGTTTTGGAAAAGGGGTTTCTGTTTTTTTTATAGTAAAATCCGAATTTCAGAAAATATAAAAAAAATGGTTTCAGTTTCTTCTCTTGGGTTCTAACTTCAAGGATGGGAATCGATTGAGGTTTGAAGCTGATTTGAGTTGTCGTTCAGTGTTCGAAACTCGCGGTTCATGTTCGATCTAGCTGCTGCATTTTCGAGTGCCCTTTTAAGTTTGAAGCTTTGTAGCTGATTCCCTTAACTCTCTGTTATCAAGAGGAAACTTAAATTTCTCAGGTTCTTTTCTTTTCTTACTGTTTTTCTGTGATTTGTGCGCTTTAAACTCGAAATTAGCCTGTTCGCCTAATCTCTCTTCTGTTAGAATTTGTACTTGACTGTTTGAGTTTTCTTTTTGTTTAATCTAACTTAATTGGTCTAGGCATAAATTAAAAGAGAGGAAGAGATTGAATGTCGGCAGGAACAGGTCCACGCCGGAGTCGAATTGAGAATTGATTTAAGGAGATTTTCTTGTCCTTTTCACATTTTTTTATATTCATGTGTCTTTGTGCTCATCTGTTGTCATTTAAATCTAGCTTCGTTTGAGTTTTGCTACATTTGGGTGTGGGGTTTCAATTGGTTAATTAGTTCTAGAATAATTAAATGAGAACTTAGAGTTCTATGCTTTGATTTAGGTGATTAGTTTGGTTTTATTTTCTTCTGCTGAACTTCTCCAGTCTTTAACATGAACCATGTTTGAACTATTAGGGTCGGTTTAAGTGTGACAGTTTCATATTTGACTTCCCTGTGCTCTACGTTCAAATTCATGCTCCAAGCTTACTTGTGATGCATTCTGATCATTTAAACTTATGTCACTTATGTTGAAGATTGAATTTGGATAATTCTTTGATACAGAGAGTAAACTTATACGTTGATGGGTTTAAAATCATTTACTATTGCATTCAGCCTTCACAATTGACATGTGAGTTTAGTCATGAACAAGATATGTGCTACTGGGATAGGGGCTGAATTTATGGTATTTGAAAATGAATTGGGAAGGTTAAAATTCCACTGATGGCTACTGGTCTTGTCCAAAATTCCAAGAATAATAGACGGAAGTCCAAAATTCCAAGAATAATAGACGGGGGCTACGAATGGATTTTCCTAGGGCCCTTATCATGCCTTTAATTCACCTTTAGTTGTTTTGTCTCATGCTGTTATTTTATTAGTATCTTTCACCTGTTAGCTTGTAGTATGGTATGTTTCTCTTTCTTGAATACCCGAAATGTGTCAATATGTGTAAGTTGGTTTACGAAGAATTGTTGGGCCGTGGGAGTTGGGAGAAAGACTTGGCCCATTAGTGTTAATTTGCTTACTTATTTAGGAATTGGGCTTGGTCTAAATACATGAAAATGATAAGTTAAAAGAACATGACCCCGAGTTGAATTTCTTTTAGTTTTTCTCTTATTTACTTATTCTCGTTTTATTAGTATTCGCTGCATGTTAGGCCGACCACATTTGGGCAGGCAAGCCTTAGGACTTCTGTTAATTTTGAGGCGAGAGGTCGTTCCCTTAGTTAAATTTATCCGGGGAATGCCCTGAAGGACTTGTATATAGTTTATTTTGGGGAATGCCCCGTAGTACTTGTATTTGGAGGCCAAAAGTAGAGCTTGCAGTATTTTATTTTTATTTTTATTTTTTTATTAGGTGGGGACGACGTTGAGCCTTTTTGTGTGTTTATTTTTCTATGTTTGTTTTACCTCAATTCAAATATTCTAAAAGCCGACTAGATCAAGTGTACAACCGTACTAGTTACGGGACTTGGGGAGTGCCTAATACCTTCTCCCCGAGTCAAATGAACCCCCTTACCTAAAATCTCTGGTGCCGACTTAGTTTTGAGTCCAAAGTGTTTCTGAAAGGAAAATTATTTCTAAAAAACCGGTGGCCTGGCACACCGAAATCAAATACCAGGTGGCGACACTTTGAGTTAATCCTTTTGAACACAAATTTTGTCACTTTCTAGTTGAAAACCCCTTTAGAGCTTTACAAAATCCTTTTATTATTTTTAAGAGGGTTAAGTGAGGTTTGTAAAAAAGTGGGTGTGACAGAGTTGTGACCCAACCCTAGTGTGGGTACTTAATGAGTGTTTGATTTAGAGCTTGTTTGTGATTGTGTTAGTGATATTTAGCCTAGTTTTTGCTTGAATTTAAGAATTAATGGTTGTAAATATTGATTCATGCCTAATTGACTTAGTATCTACTCGAGAAATAGAGGCTAAGCCTAGGAAAACTTGGCTAACAAGGAATTTGGGTGAACTCTAGAAATTGATAGGCCCAATTAAAGGGTTGAATTTAGAGATAGTAAGACCCGACTTGAGCATTTATCACTTATTTTGTGCAATATCCTTTTGGACTTGAGAAAGCCAAATTGGGATAAAATCACTCTAGCTACCAAGAGGTATTGAGTGGGTAATTGCATGTGATTGCTAGATTACGACCCCGACCAATTAAACCTGCCCTAGAGCCTACAATCCATTAGGTAACCACCTAGGTGGAAGTCACAACCCTAGATCTTTTATAAACTTGAAAAACAACAACACCAAAAATATTGTTCTCTAGCTTTTCATTTACAAACATTAGCATAAAAATTAGAAGTAGAAAGAAATAACAAAACAAGTGAAAGTGCATCTTGGGCATATCATACACTTAATCTAGATATATACCTAATCCAATATAAGCTCTCTGTGAAATCGACCCCGACTCACGTCGAATAATTATAATTGCATCGACCGCTTCACAAGCTCAATTAATGGTGTGAATTTGGGCGACATTACTCATTGTCCGCTGCCACCAACCTCAACCCTATTTTGAAGGAACCTTACCTTATACTTTTCTAACCCAAAAGTTGTTTCCCTTGTCTTCTTCCCCAAAAATATGATAACATTTTCAATAATCTTACTTATTCTTTTGTTTATGACCTTATGTTTCTTTAAGGTGATGGTTTAGATTTTAATGATCCGAGAAGACGGCGGTGAATTGGTGGCCAGTGGTGGTGTAGCAACTTTTTGATGAAATTTTTGACAATTTAATGCAGATCTTGGGGGAATTTATTACGAAACCAATAATAATTTTGATGTCTTTGCTGCTCTTTAACTTGAGAAATATAGCTTGTAGCCTTAGCATCAATGATGCACTTGTGTTTGACTCACTGCTAACTCCATTGCAGTCTTTATTGCGTATCTGAAAATTTCTAATTCCACTCACTTTCTTGAGTTTTTCTATTTTGAATCTCGATATTTCTAAGAATAAAATGCACAAGAAGCTAGGAGCTGAACACAATTATACAGAAATAAAAAGGCAATAGTTAGCTTAGGCTTTTGTGTGTTTGTTTGAATTGGATTGTGATGGTCTGTTTTCCTTCTACTGGTTAGCGGCAATGGAGATTATTCATCGGATAAGAGAAACAGTTGAACGAGGGAACTTGGTTAAGAGATATAATTGTAATTTTAAGTATTTTATTTATATCTTATTTAAATTGACACGTGTCATAGCTTTATTGGTGCATGATATTACACATAATTTAGAAAACTGGTCAAGAACAAAGTGGTGTGTAATAGACACACTTCAGAAAGGTTGAATGTGTAAAATGATTTTTCGTCGTTAGAAGATGTGTAACAGGAATTTGGTCTATAGTTCAGGTAACAACTTATATATTTTGCCATTATTTTTCTTTATTCATCATTATATCATCAATATGGTGCATTGAGACTCAAATCCAATGTAGTGCTCATATAAAGGTATGATAAGCCATAATGCATTGGGAATCGAACCCAGCGTCTTATTATCATGTTGTACTATGACTTAAACCTGGTGTCTTATCCTTAAGGTGCGATGGGACTTGAAACACACCGTCTTATCCTCAACCAATGACATAAATAGGCCAAAGTGCATAGGAACTCACCCTGGAGCCTTTAAATTTGGCAAATAAGTAGTGGATGTGTAACAAATGATGTAAAATTTGTTGATATAAAAAAAAAAAGTAACATAATTGTATCCAGTGAATGGAAACAATGCACATTACATTAAACGATTTAAATAAATATACACACAAGTTAAGCAGCATTGGTGTGCTATGTTAATGTATCAAGTTAACGTATACAAACATGTATGCAACATACTATACATTGATGATAGTAAACACCGACCAAGTTCTGTAGGATACATCATATAGTCTACATATATCTCTGTTATTATGTGAAGCCTAGTAATCCTATTAGATCAGTTGGACTTTGATCATATATTGTGATATAGTAAACTAAAAATTCATAGAGACTTACCATTTTATGTGAAAACAGATAAACAAATAGTTACCTGACGTGAAAGTTAAGAAACACCAAGCCGTGAAAGTTAAGAAACACCTACCACAACTTGACAAAGAAATGAGACATTTGTGTTGTTGACGTGTTAAGAAACTTTACTCAAAGTAATAATATAAAACAAGAAAATAGACAAGAATGTAAGGACAAAAAGATGAGAGATTCTTATTTCTTTCACATATTCAAGTGTGTACAATGTCATGCCCAAACTCTCTATTTATAGGATGATATTTAGGTAATACAAAGGAATGTCATGAACATGATATTAGCTATTGAGATCACGGGGAAAAATCATGAAGGATGTTATAGAGGTGTGAGAGTGACAACCATAATGGTAATAAGTAGTGAGAGGTTAACGGAGAACAGTAGTGAGAGTAACTTCTTTAGGAGCTATAGATATTCACTACATAATATAATATTTTATAATATAAAAGACATTTTTCTTTGTTTTTTTT